TCCCACCTTACCATTCTCTCGCTCTATCTCTCGCTCTATCTCTCGCGCTCTATCTCTCGCGCTCTATCTCTCGCTCTATCCCTCTCACCCTCTCTCTCGTCTCTCTCTCTCTCTCTCTCGCTCTCTCTACCTCCCTCTCTTTCACCATCTCTCGTTTAACCGCTCTCTGTCTCTCTGCAGTTAACACTTCTCTCTTTCATTCGTTCACCATTCTCTCTATTATTTCATCTCATCTTCCCCCCCGTTTCTCCCTCCCTACCTCCAAACCCCCCCCCCTCCCCCCCCACTCTCCACCCGTACATCTCTATTGGCTTTCTTTCCATTTTCATTTCATCCTTTCACTCTTGTGTGTGTATTTTTTGAGATGCGTGTGTGTCTGTCTCTCCTTTAACCATCCCATCGCACCACCTTTCACTCTGTGGGTTCACCTGCTTCCTTCCCTCCCTCTTCCCGTTGTTCTGGATGTAATGGCCATTTGAGCAAACACTGGAGAGAGAGAGACTTGGCCTCTGGCTGACGCATGACACCTGTAGCCCTGTTGGAGAGAAATGGCTGCTTTTTTTATGCATGGTTTGAGCATGGCGTGCCGGGGGAGTCAGCATGAGTTACCGTCTCCTCCGAAACGCAGGGAAAGATTTGTGCGAGTTTATGAACGGATCGCCCTATTTTCTAGCTGCAGTGCTGGAGGAGATCAAGTCTCCACATTCCCTCCCTCCCTCCTTCCCCACCGCCCACCCTCTCTCTCTCTCTCTCCCTCCCCACCTCCCTCCCTCCCTCCCTCCCTCTCTCTCACTCCCCTCTCCTCTCTCTCCCTCCCTCCCTCCCCTCCCTCTCTCCCTCCCTCCCTCCCCCCTCCCTCTCCCTCCCTCCCTCCCTCCCTCCCTCCCCCCCTCCCTCTCTCTCTCTCTCTCTCCCTCCCTCTCTCTCTCTCTCTCCCTCCCCCCCTCCCTCGCTCCCTCTCTCTCACTCCCTCTCTCTCACTCCCTCCCTCCCTCCCTCCCTCGCTCCGCCCCAGGCTGGCTTCACGGCCAGATACATTGCACGAAACTCCGGCTAAATTGGCTCTCGGAGCCCGAGTTCCTCACCATCCGATGAGGGTGTGGCTGAGGTGTCTAAACCAGCAGCCAGCACTAGAAACCAGGCGCGAGCCAGCCTCGCACACGTGCGCTCGCTGCCGGGTGTGTGACGGTGTTTGGTGTTGAGTTTGATGTTTTTTCAGCTTCACAGCGAGGACCCGGGAGATTTGCCTTGTCGCTGATTTGTTATTGGTTGTAAAACGCCACCAAGAACTGTCAACCGTCGGCCAGAGAGTTGGTGCCATCTCCCCTCCAGGCCCTGGGACTCCCTCTGGCCTGGCCTGTGTCAGACAAACTCGGGCATATTCCCCTGACTGTAGAACTGCCCTTTGATATCTCTCTCCCCAACTGTTATATTACTGGCCAGTGGTGTATGTCTCTCTGTCTGTCTGTCTGTCTGTCACATTGCATTCACCCTCTCTTCTCTCACACACTCACCGTCTCTCTCACACACTCACTCTCACTATCTGTCTCACTCGCTGTCTGTCTCTCACACACACTATCTCTCATACCGTCTCTCTCTCACACACACTCTCTCTGTCTCTGTCTCTCTCTCTCACACACTCTCTGTGTCTCTCGGTGCTGGCCCCAGGTCCCCACACAACCTGACTCCCTCCTCCTCCAATCTGTTCATTCAATCGGGTGTTTTACTTGTGGAATTATCCTGGGCTGCCCTGCCCTGCCCTGCCCCGGGCTGCCCTGCCCTGCCCTGCACTGGGCTGCCCTGCCCCGGGCTGCCCTGGGCTGCCCTGCCCTGGGCTGCCCTGCCCTGCCCTGCCCCGGGCTGCCCTGCCCTGCCCCGGGCTGCCCTGGGCTGCCCTGCCCTGGGCTGCCCTGCCCTGCCCTGCCCCGGGCTGCCCTGCCCTGCCCCGGGCTGCCCTGGGCTGCCCTGCCCTGGGCTGCCCTGCCCTGCCCTGGGCTGCCCTGCCCTGGGCTGCCCTGCCCTGGGCTGCCCTGGGCTGCCCTGCCCTGGGCTGCCCTGCCCCGGGCTGCCCTGGGCTGCCCTGCCCTGCCCTGGGCTGTGTGAAGGTACTGTGTGTTTGAGGGGTGGTGATGCTGGTGCTTATGGTGACGGGGTTGGGTGGGGGCGGGGGGCGGGGGGTGGGGGAGGCTGGGGGTTGGGGGCGGTGGGGAGAGTATGTGGATTCAGCGGGTCCAGGAGGTGATGTTACAGCCCAGGGTTGACTGGGGGTCAGTGCACTGGCCACTGCGTGTGAGTGATGAGACCTCATGCCAGGCGTGTGTGAGTGTGAGCTGGCACACTGTGAGTGTGTGTGTGTGAGTGTGTAAGCGTGAGCTGCTGTAACACTGCTGTCCCTCCCCGCAGCTCTCCAACTCCCGTTGGCCAATGACCCCGGCAGCCGATCAGCCTCATCAGAGACGTCCCCACAGCATCACCCCCACCCCCCCCGGCCCAGACACATGCTCAGCCTCCCGCAGCAGGTCTACCCCACACACAGGAGCATGGAGAGGTAAGGCCACAGGACACCCCTGGTACTGGGATGGGCAGAAGTCCCCGGGAGCCCTGGTTACCAGCAGTGAGTAGGAGCCCTGTAGATCAGTGGCAAGCGAGAGGACCCGGGTTTGATTCCCATGCGGGTCAGGGTGAAATGTTGGGCAAGTTTCCTTACTCCCCCCACCCACAAACACACCACACACACACACACACCACACACACACACACCACACACACACCACACCCACACACACCACACACACACCACACACACACCACACCACACACACACACAGGCGCACACGCCTCTGTTCACCCAGCAGTCAGTAGGAACCCGCTTGTTAGTCGATTGACGGATGGCTTTTCTGAGGGTAATAATCCCTTCCAAAGAATAATAATAATAATAATAAATCAGTCACTTCAACCCACGACTGTTTGTGGGGACGTCGCTGGGCGCGTTTGGCTGCCGCATTTCGCCCACAAAATACACAGTCACTACACTTTGTCCTGTGAGGCGCTTTGAGACGTCTCGAAGACGTGATCAGGCGCCGGGTCACACGCCAGGATTATTACTATTATTATTGTCGTTATTATGTGTGATGGGTTAACTTTCCCCTTTTGTTCACAGTATAGAGATCGATCAGAAGCTGCAGGAGATCATGAAGCAGACGGGGTACCTGACAATAGGAGGACAGGTAACAGCCTCTCTCCCTCTCCCCCTCCCTCCCTCCCTCTCTCTCTCTCTCTCTCTCTTTCCCTCCCCACCCCAGGAGTGAGGGAGGGATAGGGCAAGGCAGAGAGTTCCAGAGTTTTGGGGCGTAGTGTAGTGGCTGATGGTGGAGCATAGGGGACGACAAGGGAGGAACACGAGGGCGGAGTGGCTGAGGGTCCAGCTATAAGGGACGGAGCATTTTGCATTGACTGTAATCTCTCCCTCCCTTGTTCTCTCTCTCTCTCTCTCGCTCTCTCTCTCTTGCTCTCTCTCTCGCTGCAGAGATACCAGGCTGAGATCAGTGACCTGGAGAACCTGGGGGAGATTGGCAGCGGAACTTGTGGCCAGGTCTGGAAGATGAGGTTCAAGAAATCCGGCCACATCATTGCAGTGAAGGTATGTGGGCGGGCAGTGTGTGCGAGTGTGTGAGTGTGTGTGTGTGTGTGTGTGTGCGAGTATGTGTGTGAGTATGTGTGTGTGTGTGTGCGAGTGTGTGTGTGTGAGTATGTGTGTGAGTATGCGAGTATGTGCGTGAGTGAATGAGTGAGTGTGTGTGTGCGAGTATGTGTGTGAGTATGTGTGTGTGTGCGAGTGTGTGTGTGTGAGTATGTGTGTGAGTGTGTGCGAGTATGTGTGCGTGAGTGAATGAGTGAGTGTGTGTGCGAGTGTGTGTGCGAGAGTGAGTGAATGTGAGTGTGTGTGTTTTACTATTCACTGTAGTGTCAAATGCAAGGATTATTATTATTATTATTATTATTATGTACGAACGAGGCTGAGCATTGCATTGTACGACGGTGACATGAACCGAGTCACATTTTTCTCTCTCTCTCTCTCTCTGTCGTGTTTTGTTTTTGTTTTTGTTTTTTGTTTCTGTTTTGAAGCAAATGCGTCGCTCGGGTAACAAAGAGGAGAACAAACGGATTCTGATGGACCTGGACGTGGTGTTGAAAAGTCACGACTGTCCTTACATCGTGCAGTGCTACGGCACCTTCATAACTAACGTGAGCTCTCGCGCCGAAACTCTTGCCGCTCTCTCTCTCTCTCTCTCTCTCTCTCTCTCTCTCACATCCTCCGTCTTGCCCCCTCTTCTCACCTCCCTGTTCGACTGTGTTTACGCTGTTTATTGCTGCCCCCCTGCGTGAGGGGCGCTGTGTAAACACAAGCTGCTGCTGTTGTCTGTTGTCGGTGACCGGTCTTGTTTCCTGTTTGACACCAGACTGACGTGTTCATAGCCATGGAGCTGATGGGCACTTGCGCAGAGAAGCTGAAGAAGCGGATCCAGGGGCCGATCCCAGAGAGAATCCTCGGGAAAATGACCGTTGCGGTAAGCCGGGGCTCGGGAGAGGAAGCCCACCCGAGGCCTGACAGCGAGGCCTGGGCTAAGTTCCAAAGGCTTCCAAGTCACAACCACCAACAATACACAGTCCATAGGCCATAATACTGCAGGAGTGGAGGGTGTTGCCTCGCAAGTCAGAGGACCCGGGTTCAATTCCCAGGCAGGTCAGGGCAAAACCTGAGGCACGTTTCCTTACTACACACACACACACATACACACACACAGACACTCAATCCACGGCTGTTTGTGGGGACTCTGCTGCGTGCAATTGGCTGCCACGTTTCACCCACACTTTACAGTGTTTCCTGTGAAGCGCTTTGAGACGTCTCGACGACGTGATCTGGCGCCGGGTCAAATGCCAGGATTATTATTATTATTATTACTTTGATCCCAATCCTCAGGGGATGTGTCAGTAATAATATAATAATAATGATGATATGATGATAATTCTGATTATGGTCGAGGCTCTAACCATTGAGCCACAGGACAACACAGTGTAATGAGATGATTGTGTCTGATCGGTACCTTCTCCTTTGTCCAGATCGTCAAAGCTCTTTTCTACCTGAAGGAGAAACACGGAGTCATCCACAGGGACGTCAAACCCTCCAACATCCTGCTGGACGAGCGAGGGGAGATCAAGCTGTGTGATTTCGGGATCAGCGGGAGGCTGGTGGACTCCAAAGCCAAGACCCGCAGTGCTGGATGTGCAGCATACATGGCAGTGAGTCCTGGCTCTGTCCTCCCGGCGGCAACGGCACTGGCTCCCAAATCACCCCTCATTTCTTGCCCGGCTTCGCTGGCTCCCCATCCCCCAGAGAATCGGGTACAAAACCCTTCAAAGACCTCCATCGCCTTGCTCCATTGGCAGTCGGGCCTTCAGTACCTCTGCCCCTACACTCTGGAATCTCTATCCCCCAATCCCTCCGCCTCGCCCCCTCTCTTGCCTCCTTCAAGTCCCATCTAGACTTTCCTCTTCGACTGCGCCTTCGGGCATCCTCCCACCCTCATCCCCCACCACCACCCCTCTCCTGACCCCGAGCCCTGACTGTCCAGCGCCTTGGGACATCCACTTGATGTCATGTGTTTGTTGTTGTTGTTGATCCACACCAATCTCTCTCTCTCTCCGCAGCCTGAGAGGATAGACCCCCCTGACCCCAGTAAACCAGACTACGATATCCGAGCTGACGTGTGGAGCCTGGGAATATCACTGGTGAGGAAATCGGTGGCCGAGCCTTCAGTCACAACACCCCATTACTCTGTCGCTCCCTCCCTCAATCCCTCCCTCTCCCCCTGTCTCACTGTGTGGCTTAGACCCAGGTGGGAGGGAGGGGAGGGAGGGGGTCTCTCTTTACATGTCTGTCAGTAGGCCTCGGGGTCTGTCATTGTGGAACAGGCTGCGTGGGCTGAATGGCTTCTCCTGTTCCTATGTTCCTGGGTAAATAAGGGGGAGAATTCTCAGTTTGTCTATGTACTGAGATCACTGAATAGCTTATCACACACTCCTCTCTCTCTCTCTCCCTCTTTCCTTCTCTCCCCCACTCCCTGACTCCCCCTCTCTCCTCTCACCCTCACTTTCTCCCCTTCTCTCTTTCCCCTCCTCCCCCTCTCTCCTCCCCTGATTCTCTCTCTACCACCCTCGCACTTTCTCCCCCTTCCTGTCCCCTCACACTCCCTCTCCACCCCTCACTCTCTCCCTCTCCTCCCTCCCCCTTGCTCTCTCTCCCTCTGTCTCTCTCTCTCTCTCTCTCTCTCCCCCTTGCTCCCTCTGTCTGACTGTCTGTCTGTGTGTGTGTCTCTCTCTCCCTTGCTCTCTCTCCCTCTCCACCACCCCCCACCCTCTCCCCTCGTTCCCCCCCGGGGCAGGTGGAGTTGGCCACAGGGCAGTTTCCGTATAAAAACTGTAAGACGGACTTTGAGGTGCTGACCAAGGTGCTGCAGGAAGAGCCTCCATTACTGCCTCAGACCATGGGCTTCTCCCTGGACTTTCAATCCTTCGTCAAAGATTGGTGAGTGATTCCTCGGCCGTGAGCCCAACAACAACAACAGCCGCTTGCATTTACACCGTGTCCCTCACGCAGGGCAGTGTCCCAGAGCGTTGGGCACGGGCGGAGCAGCGGAGAACTCACACACACAACAGCAACGAGACATTTGTGGAGTCCCTGTAGCTCAGGGGTTAGACCCCACTCGCCTCGCAAGCCAGAGGACCAGGGTTCGATTCCCGGGAGGGTCAGGACAGGGCGAAACCTTAGGCAAGTTTCCTTACTCCACACAGACACACACAGACACAGACACACACACAGACAAACAGACACACACACACACACATAGACACACACACACACATAGACACACACACACATAGACACACACAGACAAACAGACACACACACACACATAGACACACACACACATATAGACACACACAACACACACACACAGACACACACACAGACAAACAGACACACACACACACACACATAGACACACACAGACAGACACACACACGCCTCTGTTTACCAGCAGTAAATAGGAACCCGGTTGTTAGTCGATCGATGGATCGCTTTTCTGGGGTAATAATTCCTTTTTAAAAAAAAAATAATAATTTGGTCCCTTCACTCCACGGCTGTTTGTGGGACAGACGCTGCTTTGTGCAATTGGCTGCCGTGTTTCGCCCACAAAACATACAGTCACTAAACTTTACAGTGTATCCTGTGAAGCGCTTTGAGACATCTCAACGACGTGATAAGGCGCTGTATCAAATGCCAGGATGATTATTGTTAGTGTGTAATAGCCAGTCAGGCTAACACAACCTCTCACTCTGGGAGGTAATGTGACAGCAGAGATATTGAATTAATTAAAGCTCTGAAGTAGGGTTAGGATATTTGCCGTTCGTCACTGAAGCTCTGGGATTTGTATTTATATCACATTAAAAGTACAAGAGAAACTATTTCCTCTGGCGGTGGTGGTGGGGTGGGATCCAGAACAGAGGGTGCGTCATCTTAAAATTAGAACCAGGCCATTTAGGGGTGAAATCAGGGGCAGTTTTTCACACAAAGGCAGTGGAAATCTGGAATTTCTCCCTGTGGATTGTGGTTGGATCCATTCACGTTGTCAAGACTGAGGTGGACAGATGTTTGTTAGATCAGGGGATCAAGGGATACCGGGCAAAGGTGGGGAATTGGAGTTGAGGTACAGATCATAGAATAGAATGGCGGAACGGGCTCGAGGGGCTGAATGGCCTCCTCCTGTTTTCTGTGTAAGTGTCAATAGGGTACAAACTGGTCCGTGTTTGTCCATCTTCTAACCACTTTGTGTTTTTATCCTTGTCCCCCCCCCCTCACTCGCCTCCTCACAGCCTCACAAAAGATCACAGGAAAAGACCAAAATACAACAAACTACTTGTGAGTATTGAAGCGTCTTTATTTTTACCAAAACCTGTCTCCAGCTCCGCAGCCCCTCAAACCTGTGTTAACACACAGTTATATTCCCGTTCGGCTCCTGCTAACCCCGCATCCAAAGCCCCCAACTAACGGGGAGGGGGGGGGGTCCCAGCGGGACTAGCAGCGGGAAAGCTTGACCAGACAGCGCTCGCTCTCTCAATGGCAAGCTGTATGTGGGTTTAGCTGGTTAGACTCCAGCAGTTACCCCCAGCACACACTCTGGGCTCCCCCCCCCCCCCCCAAGTCTTGGCTCTCACCAACCTGCGCCAACCTCTCCGGCATTAGGTAAGCGGGGGGCGTCCCTCCAGGGAGAGAGAGAGAGAGCGCGTTCCATTCCGACAATCTCTCTCTGGGATTTCCATGTGTAGGTGGGATGTGGGGAATTCTCGGTTGGGTTTGGAGACTCTTAAGCCACGGTGACGGGTTTCCGTGTGTGTCGGTCACCCGCCCGACAGTGTCTGTTCTGACTGAACCCCTTGACTAACCCACCGCCCCCTCCCCGGTTGCAGGAACACAATTTCATCAAGCGTTACCAGACCTTGGAGGTGGACGTGGCAACCTGGTTCAAAGAGGTCATGGCAAAGACAGAGTCTCCTCGGTCCAGCAGCATCCTCAGCCAACAGCACCTCCCCATCTTCACCAGGTAGCCAGCGAAGCGGGGAGAGAGGGAGGGGGAGAGAGAGTGGGGTGGGGTGGGGGGGGTGGAGGGGCAAGGAGAAGAGAACTACAGCCACCGTCTGTCACCCACCACCACTCCACCACCAGCAAGAGGTCTGCGTCCGACAGAGACTGGACGATATGTACAGAAACCCCAACTCCTGTCCCTTTCTCTCCAGTGTTTTATTTTCTTTCTTCAACCCGACTCAGGAGTGTGGCTTTGTGAGTGTTTTAGTCGTGAGTCGGAGGAGAATTTGCTGTCCTCTCGTTCGGTTAAAGAGAAATTGACAGAGAGCGAGAGGGAGGGAGAGAGAGAGAGAGAGAGTAAAGGACGAGAGGAAAAAGAGGTGTGAAGGGGCTGTGGGTGTGGGGGGGGGAGGTTTGTGGGGTAATGCGCTTTGAGCTGAGCGTCTGTCTCGCTGTTACTGTGAATATCTCCTGATTGTCTCTTGCCCCCCACCCCCTCCCTCCCTCCCTCCCCCCACACGACCCCCCCACCCCTCCCCACCCCTCCCCACCAACCCCAGTGGCCAAAAACTCCAGAGGAAATGGCAACTTTATATATTAAGTGTTTAAAATATTACCGGATTATGCACTGTGAACAAAGCGAGAAAAAGAGGGAAAAGGAGAGAGGATTTGACCCTAATTTATTAAATATAAAACCGTGTAGGTGGTGTGGTGATCTCTGGTGTATTTGTGTGCCTGTGTGTGTGTGTGTGTGTGCGTGTGCCTGTGTGTGTGTGTGTGTGTGCGTGTGCCTGTGTGTGTGTGTGCGTGTGCCTGTGTGTGTGTGTGTGTGTGTGTGTGTGTGTGTGTGTGTGCGTGTGCCTGTGTGTGTGCGTGCGTGTGTGTGTGTTTGCGTGCGTGTGTGTGTGTGCATGTGCCTGTGTGTGTCTGTGGCTGTGTGTGTGTGTGTCTGTCTGTGTGTGTGTGTGTGTGTCTGTCTGTGTGTGTATGTGTGTGTGTGTGTGTGGGCACCGATATTATTACAATAGTCCAGTGTGTGATCCAAACAAATGGCTGATTTATTTTGTCTTCTGTTGACGTCTCTCCGAAGCCCCGGGTTTCAAGTCAGACACTTTTTTTCGGTGGGGGGGGGGGGGGGGGGTGAGCGTTGGTGACGGGAGGAATGGGGTGAAGGGAACCCGGGAGCAATCGGGGTCTCAGCAATCCCGGGAATGTTGCTTCGGGAAATATTGTGTTGAAACGTTCAGGCCTCGATGGGGCACCCAACTCTGACACTGACTCGTGCTTACACACTCGCTCACACACTCGCTCACACACTCGCTCACACACTCACTCGCTCACACGCTCGTTCGCTCACACTCACTCACTCACTGACTCACTCACACACTCGCTCGCTCGCTCACACACTCGCTCACACACTCACTCACACACTCGCTCACACACTCACACACTCGCTCACACGCTCGTTCGCTCACACACTCACTCACTGACTCACTCACTCACACACTCGCTCGCTTGCTCGCTCACACACTCGCTCACACACTCAGACAGTGAGCACATCACACCCGGTAATCAACACATCACACAGCAGTCACAGGGCAGGTCACAGTCAGTCATGTTGGAACTGAACTGGTAAAGATAGTCCTCAACACTTCCCCAGGAGAGTCTGGGGGTGAGGACATAGTGGGGGAGACTGTGGTTGAGTGCCAGGAGAGACTGGTGGAGAAGGTGCTGCTCTTGTGTTGTAGCTGCAGAAGGAGTGTCTGTGTGTTCAGCTCAAGGGCAGATCTGTAAAAGATGGAGTGGGGGAGGTTTCAGGTCGTGATTCTGAATCGCAGCCATTTGTACTGTGGGAATCACTTTGTCTTTCAGTTAGCGCTGGATCCTGACGCTCCCTCCTTCCTTGTCTCTCTGCTGTCACAATCATTGACTGACCTGCGTTTACTGGAAGCTCGGGGTCACTGTGCGTGAAACATAAAGCTTTACATAACGACAGGGGTTGGGGCGAAGCCACAGTCCACATGAGGGGGCTGTGAAGTTCCAGAGGTCTGTCTGTCCATTTAACACGTAGGGTGTTTGGCTTGGACGGTCTGTAACGCTCTGGGCTGTTACACGGAGCCGTGTAGACACAGCAATAACTGGGCCTTGTCCAGGTCCCACCTGGTACGCCACCTGTCTGCTTCCTCTGCTTCGAGGCTGACATTCACGGCTGGAATCCCTGTAACTCAGGGGTTAGAGCCCTCGCCTCGCAAGCGGGAGGACCCGGGTTCTATTCCCGGGCCGGTCGGGGCGAAATATTGGGCAAGTTTCCTTACTCCACACCCCCCACCTTTACAGTACTTAGGAACCCAGTTGTGAAGTCGATTGGCAGATCACTTTCTGGGGGTAATAATAATGTGGTCACTCAATCCACGGCTGTTTGTGGGGACACCGCTGTGCGCAATTGGCTGCCGCGTTTCGCCCACAAAATAGACAGTCAATTCACTTTACTGTGTATCCTGTGAAGCGCTTTGAGACGTCTGGAAGACGTGATCAGGCGCCGGGTCAAATCCGAGGATTATTATTATTATTATTTATTATATTTTACATTGGGTATTTTCCAATCATTTGAGGTCACCATTTGCATCAGATTTGTGTGTGCGTGTGTCTGTGTCTGTGTGTGTATGTCTGTGTGTGTCTGTGTGGGTGTGTGTCTGTGTGTGTGTGTGTGTATGTGTGCGTGTTTGTGTCTGTGTGTGTGTGTCTTTGTGTGTGTGGGTGCGTGTGTGTGTGTGTCTGTGTGTGTGTGTCTTTGTGTGTGTGTGTGTGTGCGTGTGTGTCTGTGTGTGTGTGTGTCTGTGTGTGTGTGTGTGTCTGTGTGTGTGTGTCTTTGTGTGTGTGGGTGCGTGTGTCTGTGTGTGTATGTGTGTGTGTGTGTTTGCGATAGCATTACTTTTCTCCTGGTTGCAATATCGAACCAATCAACAATCCTGGCAACATTTCACTGCCGTCACTGAACTGAATCCACTTCTTTCACCTGATTCCCCCATCGCACACTTTCCAACCTCAAACTTATTTTCATGTGTTGACCAAAGCTGTAGTTTTGTTTAAAAACAGACACTCTAAGACCACGTAGAGAATGTCAGAATTTCAAGTGTAGGATAATAACAATAATAATAATAATTGTTTTTAGTTGTCGTCCGTTTCTTCTGCTGGAAATTAGAAAGTGTCCGGGAGGGGAAGGAGTGGGGAATCGATGATGAGAGCATTTTTTGTGGAGATGGGTCTGAGAGACAGGGGTATAGAGAGAGAGAGAGAGAGAGAGAGAGGGGGTAGAGAAAGGAGGAAGAGGGTGTGTGTAAGTGTGTGTGTGTATGTGCACAACAGGTGGAATAAGGTCGAGTGATGGCAGGTGTGGAGATGGGGGTAACTATGACAGTGTCATGGTCTGTTATTATTTAACATCATTAACTTGCATCACCTCATTTGGAAACCTCCTCATTCACGGTTTACCCCCGACCACTCTTTGCTTTGAGGCGTCTCGAAGACATGACAAGTCGCTGTATCAAACACAAGGATTATTGTTATTAATAATATTATTATCATCGTCAAACCCAGGCATCTTAAGACCCCCTTCACCGTCAAGGAAGTGAAGTGGATCCTAGGAGAAAGCAAACAGTGACCCAAGCTGTAGGAACAGGTGGAGCCTGACTTGGACTTCATGTGTTTCAGGATATACATTAAAACACAAAATGACATTTGTGTAACGCCCTTCACGTCGGGAGGACATCCCGAAACCCTCATATACAGACCACACAACGATTAGGTAGATTGATCCCAGTTAAACTCGCCCGGGCACCCACTGAAACACTCGTATCTGGGTCTTTTTTGAGTGAAATTGGACAGCGGTCCTCAGGGGCCTTCAAATAATAAGTGGAGCGGTCACTGCTGGGAAGCTCAGAGTAATGAAAGCTATTATAGAGGTGCAGCTACACAGAGAGGGTTCAATTGAAATCCGGCAGCTTGACCACAGGTCAAGGAAATCCGGTCAACGGCTTTAGACACGTCTGTAATCTGTCATTGATTGTTTGTGGCGTGATGAGGCGCTGGGTCAAATGCCAGGATTATTATTATTAAAAACATGGAAATGTCCCAGTGCTCTGGTTTGACCCTCTGAGACCTGACCCTGAGTGGAGAGGCTATACAAGTGCAAGTTGTTGTTGATGTTGTTGGCCTTTACATTGTCACAGTTACACTCTGCTGAACTGGGCTGAAATCTTTAAGGGAACAGGTACGAGAGAGAGAGAGGTAGAGGGGAAGTAGGACGGTGTGAGAATAGCGATTCGGAGACTGAGGGGAATGTAATACCCGTAAACAGACCTTAATCAGTTATTTGTGGTGGGGGTAGAGCCCAGGTAACCAGTCATCCTGCACAGGGACATTCTCACTTCAAAATCAATTCACAAGCATTTGGCTTAGACTGTGTTACAATGGCGTTAGATTACTGAGGCGGATGAGCAGAGAAGACAAGAATATGAGGCCTTCATTTGCCCCCCTCCCACCCCCTCCCACCCCCTCCCACCCCTCCTGGATGTCGGGGTTTATTTATGGGGCAGATATTGCACATTGCACAAAAGGAATTTATTTATTGAAAATTAAACCTGAGCTCACATGATTGGCTTCCCCCCCCCCACACACATCGTGGAGGCCTGTAGCTCAGTGGTTTGAGCCCTCGCCTCACAAGTCTGAGGACCCGGGTACCATTCCTGGTCAGGGTGAACCCTCAGGCAAGTTTCCTTACTCCAGACACACACACACACACACGCCTCTGTTTACCAGAAGTAACCAGGAGTCCGGTTGTTAGCCGATTGGAGGATGGCTTTTCCGGGGGTAATAATCCATTCAATAAATAAATAAGTAAATAATAAAAATTATTTAGTCACTTCAACCCACGACTGTTTGTGGGGACACTGCTGTGCGCAATTGGCTGCCGCATTTCACCCACAAAATAAATAGTCAATCCAATGTGTGTGAGTGTGTGTGTGTGTCTGTGTGTGTGTGAGTGAGTGAGTGAGTGAGTGAGTGAATGAGTGTGTGTCTGTGTGTGAGTGTCTGTGTGTGAGTGTGTGTGTGTATGTGTATATATATGAATGTGTTTCTATGATGTTTGTCTGTGAGTGTGTGTGAGTGTGAGTGAGTTTGTGTGTGAGTGTGAGTGAGTCTGTGTGAGTGTGTGAGTGTGAGTGTGGCAGAAGAGAGAAGGTAGCGACACAGAATGAATGTGCTGGGTTTAGCCCGTCTGGAGCCCGCTCTCTGCCTGCGTACCGTCCTCACAGCCTGTTGTGTGGCCTCGGCCTCGATGTATCTTCAGAGACGAAACACAAAAAAAAATGCAGTTTTATTGCATTTTTTTATTTTTTTTTATTTTTCTATGTTAAAAAGTTAGAGCAAAGATTTTATTGTTTATTCCTACTAGTCTCTATTCACCAGGTAAACTAATGATGTCCA